GTGCAGGAAGCAGGACCCAAATGCAGACTTAAGTGACAAAATAATTCCTTTATTTCAAGGCTACAAATATCTAGACACAGAACAGAACACTCACCGCAGAATAACTCAAAACACAAGACGAACCGACAAAGACAGAAAAACCAGAACTTAAATACACCCAGGACTAATCAAACAAACACGAGACAGGTGAGGAGGTAGGAGAAAACACAGAGGCACCAGGTGAACACAATCGGGTAATCAGGGAGGGGAAACAGACAGAAAGCAACAGGCAGGAAACGGGGGTGAAGAATTTACAAAATAAAACAGGAAACCCAAAGATAGAAAAATACAAGACAAAACAACAACACAGACAGATCGTGACCAGGGGCACAGCAGAGGACCAGGAAGGGGTCTCGGGCGGACGGCCCGGGGGCAAGGCAGAGGACCAGGAAGGGGTCTCGGGCGGACGGCCCGGGGGCAAGGCAGAGTCCAAAATGGGGTTTATGGAGGGGCGAAGGCCACCGCGGGTGAACTCAGGGGGCCGAGCATGAGGGCGAGGACTGCGGCCGGAAAAGTCAGGGGGCCGAGCATGAGGGCGAGGACCGCGGCCGGAAGAGTCAGGGGGCCGGGCCCGAGGGCGAGGACCGCGGCAGGAAGAGTCAGGGGGCCGGGATCGAGGGCGAAGACCGCGGCTCTCAGGGGGCCGGGCTCGAGGGCGAAGACTGCGGCTCTCAGAGGGCCGGGCAGGACCCGGTGTCGGAGCTGGTGGGACAGGCCTCGGCAGGATCCCCCACGGAAGAGGACCAGGACACGGGATTTGCAGGATCCCCGGCAGGAGAGCAGTCGGCGGGGCCTCCAACGGCACAGTACATGGGATTGGCAGGACCCCCGGCAGAAGAGTAGACGGCGGGACCTCCAACGAGACAGGACAAAGGGTTGGCAGGACCCCCGGCAGGAGAGTAGTCGGCGGGGCCTCCAACAGCACAGGACAAAGGGTTGGCAGGACCCCCGGCAGGAGAGTAGACGGCGGGACCTCCAACGGGACAGACATACGATTGGTAGGACCCCCGGCAGAGGAGTAGTCGACGGGGCCTCCAACGGGACAGGACATGGAGTTGGCAGGACCCCCAGCGGAACCTCCAACGGACCAGGACATTGGGTAGGGACTTGAGACATGACTCGAGAGGGGAACCAAGGGGGAACTCGAGACGTGACTCGAGAGGGAACTCGAGAGGAGACTCGAGAGGGGAACCAAGGGGGAACTCGAGAGGGGACTTGAGAGGAGACTCGAGAGGGGAACTAGAGAGGGGACTAGAGCGGGGACTAGAGGAGGGACTAGAGGAGGGAACTCGAGAGGGGACTGGAGAGGGGACTCGAGAGGGGACTGGAGAGGGGACTCGAGAGGGGACTCGAGAAGGGATTTGAGAGGGGACTCGAGAAGGGATTTGAGAGGAGACTGGAGAGGGGACCCGAGAGGGGACCCGAGAGGAGACTGGAGAGGGGACTCGAGAAGGGATTTTAGAGGAGACTGGAGAGGGGACCCGAGAGGGGACCCGAGAGGGAACCCGAGAGGGAACTCGAGAGGGGACTCGAGAGGGAACTCGAGAGGGGAACTCGAGAGGGAACTCGAGAGGGAACTCGAGAGGGGACTCGAGAGGGAACTCGAGAGGGGACTCGAGAGGGAACTCGAGAGGGAACTCGAGAGGGGACTCGGGTAGGAACTTTAGAGGGGACTTGAGTCGGTCGGTACGCCGACAGGACACAGGGAGCTGGCGTCGTCTGGGGAGCCAGCAGGAGACGAGGTGCTGGAGTCGGCCGGTACGCCGACAAGACTCGGGGCGCTGGCGTCGGCTGGGGAGCCAGCAGGAGACGAGGTGCTGGAGTCGGCCGGTACGCCGACAAGACTCGGGGAGCTGGCGTCGGCTGGGGAGCCAGCCCTGTAGCCGAAACTGGAGTCGAGCCCATGGCTTCTGGGGCCGGTACTGAAGCCGGAACCATGGCTGCGGGGGTCGGAACTGGAGCCGGAACCATGACTGCTGGGCAAGGAACCGGAACACGGATCCATGGCTGTGTGGGGTGGTACTGGAGCACGGTACCATGGCTATGTGGGATGGTACTGGAGCACGGAACCATGGCTGCTGGGTCCGGCACTGGAGCCGGAACCATGGCGGTTGGGGCCTGTAATGGAGCCGGAACCATGGCTGCTGGGGCTCGGGCTGCTAGCCTGGCCTTGCGACGACTCCTCTTAGCAGCATCCTGAATACTCCGTGGACCTCCATAAGCCTGACGAGTTCCGGAATACGACTCCTGGACAGGAGCAGGAACTGGGGCAGAAGCACTGGCTGACTCCAGACGGACCACACCGAGACGTTTGTAGTCAGCAGGCTGGAAATCACACACCCAGAGGAAGTTCAAAATCCAGCCAGGCAAGAACTTCACCAAGTCTGGTTTCTCCATAGCCAACCGGTGCGCCTCTACCAGAGCGGCCTCCCTCTGCCGAACACTGGACGCTCCACTCCACCAATCACAGCAGCAAGCCAAACCAAAGGAAAAATGCTGTAGCTCCACCTCAAATGGATCATCTGCTGGGTCCATTTCTGGTCGGTTCGTTCTGTCACAGTTTGTGTGGGAAACAGGACCCAAATGCAGACTTAAGTGACAAAAGAATTCCTTTATTTCAAGGCTACAAATATCTAGACACAGAACAGAACACTCACCGCAGAATAACTCAAAACACAAGACGAACCGACAAAGACAGACGGAAAAACCAGAACTTAAATACACCCAGGACTAATCAAACAAACACGAGACAGGTGAGGAGGGAGGAGAAAACACAGAGGCACCAGGTGAACACAATCGGGTAATCAGGGAGGGAAACAGACAGAAAGCAACAGGCAGGAAACGGGGGTGAAGAATTTACAAAATAAAACAGGAAACCCAAAGATAGAAAAAGACAAGACAAAACAACAACACAAACAGATCGTGACACAGTCTACGTACAGGTCACTCCTTTTGAAATATTAAACTTAGTTTTCATTTCTTTAATTTTTCATCCTCGTGTAGAATGCTATCACGAAACACACATTTGGTTGTTTATAGCATAAAGAACATCTGATTTAATGTGAGGTAGGGAAATAATCATTTGAGTATGTGTATATAAATATGTAATTTACAACAGCTGTAAGCTGCTTGAAAAGCTGGAAAATGCACCTTGAAAATGCTTGAAAAGTGCTTGAATTTGACTTTGGAAAAGGTGTAAGAACCCTGCCTGCTGGAAGTCAGGAGCGTTCAGGGGCTTTCTGACAAGAGGGTGGACGAAGGGTCGTCTACCCTCGAGTCGTCTACCCTCCCAGACACCGGGAGAGGCAGCTGAAGGGGCGGTTCAAGACAGCGAAGGGGAAGAACACCTCCTGTCCTGGGAAGGAGAGTCTCCAAATATTCCTGTTTCCTATACTAAATATTTGCTGCCTATTAACCCTCACTGTCCTCTCCGTGACTCAGCTGTCTTCTCGGGCTGAACTCGGGCCCTGCAACATGGCCCAGCGCCAGCCGCCTGGTAGAGGCCATTTGCAGCCAGCTCTGCCGTCTCCACCCCGCGGCCACGCGGTTCGGAGGGATCATGAGGACTCGGTGGTCCCTCATCCTCACGGACTACGTGGCCATTAGAGAGGCAGTGCTGGCCAGCCCGAGGTTGATGGCTCAGACCGACATTCAGCTCTTTGAGCTCAACCAGAGGACCCTGTCCCAGTGGTGAGTTTAACCAGCAGCTTTGTTGGTGGTTTTGTAATCCGTACTGGGGTTTCTCTTTCCGTAAAAACATCTGCCTGGGTTTGTCTTACAGGTTCTCTCGGCGCCAGAAAGAGAGGGGGGGTGTCTGTGCTGCTGCAGGGAGCTGGCGTCGTCCCTGCAGTAGCTGTGGCTTTCCAGCCTCTCCCGCCAGCGAAAGGGCTGTCCTTTGTACAGGTGGGACAAGGACAGCCCTTCCATTACAACATCCCAGAGGTGCCGGGACCTTCAGGGGTGGGTCTGCCTGCCTCATCTGGCCACACCCCCCCTCCTCCTCCTCCCCCTCCTTCTCCTCCCCCTCCTCCTCCTCTTCGGACACTGCTCCCGGCTGTCCCTCTCATGGCTGCTGCCCCTCCTCCTCCTCTTCGATTACTGCTCCCGGCTGGCCCTCTCATGGCTGCCCCTGCTGCTCAGCCTCCTCCTCTCCGTGTGCCGAAGACAACGGCCTACAGGAAGAGGAAGGCGGCAGAGGCTGATGCTGCAAGGGGTGGGCCGTCGCCCTGGAGCAAAGCCCGTCAGCAGACGGGTCAGTACACCTGCAGCAAGTGTGGCCAGGCCAAGAGGATCGACACTGGCCACACTCGCATTGCAGGTGTGTCTTACTGCGCGGCTGCCGGCGGGAAAACTGTGGAGGAATGGAGGGAGGAGATGAAAAGACTCAAAAGGGACCCAGAGGGGGGGGAATGATGGCTCTTTTTTCTTTAATTGTCTTTTGTCTTTATTTATTTAAATCTATTTTTAAAATAAAACTCTGAACTGAACTTTGTGTGGAAACTTTATTTAGAATTCATTACACAACGTCTGATATTTGACTGCAACACGGGTCAATAAAACACAACATGGTGCATAAATAAGCACAGTAGAGATGATGAGATGATACACACACATATATGTATATATATATATGTATGTATGTAGTATATATATATATGTTGCCACTCAATTATGATGCATGTTAGATTTGATATATATATCAAATATAACATGCATCATAATACAGCTCTGTAGAACAAACCTTTCTTTAATCAAATCAGTTTTATTTATTCAGATGTTATCTCACTGCACTTTACAGATACTCTTTGTAGTTTATCATCATTTACCAAAACCCCCTGTCTGAGAGGGGAGCTCTTCCTCATCTCTGCCACAGCTGGGGATCGAACGGCCGACCTTCTGCTCCGCGGAGAGGGCCCACTTTCCTCTCCTTGCCCCCCTCCTTTCACAGAGAAGAATGGGCAGTATCCTCCACCGGGTGGATTCAATCGTTCGCCAATGGGAGGCGGATAAAGGTCCAAATCAGAGAATCAAACTTTTGGCGTCCAATCAGTGAGGCGGATTTCTTTCCAAATTCTCTCCTCCGTCCGCCATTGTTTCGACCTGGCATTCTACTGAGTGACTTCAATCAAGCGACACTGTGAGTAAAATGTGCATTAATTATTAGCAAATACACGTGTAAACACTGTTACAAAGACACTTCTATGTCCGACATTAGTCATACTGAGTTAGCCGTGGTGTTTGTACGGTATCCATACTTTGTGAACCGCTGATGAACTGCTGTGTGTGTTCACCTTTAGCTAGCGGCTAGTGGGACGCTACGGAGCCCAGCTATCCGCCCTCTGAAGCTTTTAGAGCCAACAGGGGGAGGAGAATGTCCCGCTAACGCTGTGTGTGTGTGTGTGTGTGTGTGTGTGTGTGTGTGTGTGTGTGTGTGTGTGTGTGTGTGTGTGTGTGGTGTGTGTGTGTGTGTGTGTGTGTGTGTGTGTGTGTGTGTGTGTGTGTGTGTGTGTGTGTGTGTGGTGTGTGTGTGTGTGTGTGTGTGTGTGTGTGTGTGTGTGTGGTGTGTGTGTGTGTGTGTGTGTGTGTGTGTGTGTGTGTGTGTGTGTGTGTGTGTGTGTGTGTGTGTGTGGGTGTGTGTGTGTGTGTGTGTGTGTGTGTGTGTGTGTGTGTGTGTGTGTGTGTGTGTGTGTGTGTGTGTGTGTGTGTGTGTGTGTGTGTGTGTGTGTGTGTGTGTGTGTGTGTGACATTAGCGGGACGCTACGGAGCTCAGGTATCCGCCCTCTGAAGCTCTTAGGGCCGACAGGGGGAGGACAATACAACGCTGTGTGTATTTATCGCTAAGCTAGCTGGACGCTACGGTTCAGGTATCCTTGCTCTGAGGCATTTATGGTGGACAGGTTGAGGAGGATGTACCGCTCCTGTGTGTGTGTACTAACGGAGCTCCGATGAGAGGGCTCTGATTATAGTTTTAATCCTCTGTCAAACTGCATGTTTTCTGCTATATTTGACGAGAGATAAAATGATTTTCTGCCACAGGAGTTTGACAGAGAATAACTGAAAAAGTACACAGTAAAATAACTTCATAGTAGCCTACTTGTGGTAGAAGTCCAACTAGTACTGACTCCAACAGTAAAGTACTTCATTGTATTTGTGGTAGTGGTCTAACTGAGTCCAACTCTGTGTAGATGGAACATCCAGTATTTCGGAGGGCCCCTAACGGGACTCTCCTCTTAAAGGCCACGGCCGAAGCCAGCACCCTCGCCCCCCGGCGAGCAGCCGGCCAAGCCCTGTACAGGGCAAAGAAGCCCGAGGAGGTGGACGCGGAGGCCTGGGCCCACGTCTCCTCCGAGGGTGGCTCCACCGCCAACGCCACCCTCGTCCTGAGCCGGTGGAAGGTCCAGTTCGGCCAGTACCAGGGAAAGATCTTCCACTGGCTCCTGGAGAACGACGTGGGCTACGCCATTAATCTGGTTGCCTCCCACCAGAAGGAGCGAGAGAGGACAGGGTCTCAGTCCCCGCTGATGGCCAACAAGGTGGAGTACTTCAGTCTGATTCACAATACCATTAAAAGAGTGACAACAGTTTTAACCTTATTTGTGAATTTACAGGACGCCTTCACCCGCTACTCCTCAGCGTACCCTGACTTTCTGGAGGCAGTCAGGTTCCACCGGGCGTTTGAGGAGGCGCGGGCCTGTCCCTCCTGCCTGGTCAGGAGGGACAGGCCCTTGTTGGCTTCGGGGACTTTAAATTTGAGACCCTGGACAGCCTGTACGAGTCTGTGGACCCCAAAAAAATCCGGTATGTCGTAATATCTATATATATATATATATATACATGTGGATTCTTATTCGGTTGATAAGAATCACGTGACAAATTGTCTGATTTTTGTAGATTTGTCAACTACCTCCGGAGGAAGATTCCCACACCCGGCTCGCAGATGGAGAACGCCATCTGCTACCAAGAGCCGAGACAGACAGAGACCTGCTGCTGTTGCTGCTGCTGCATCCACCACCACCAGCACAGTCTCTGTCTCTGGAACAGAGAGCGAGGACTGCATCAAAGTACGTGTGTTATTTTAAAGCTGTCTGAGTTTGACGTACCTGGATGACCTTTCTGAAGACACGTTGGTGTTTTTCATGCTGTGCATTCTAGATGTTGTTCTGTCTCATAGGCCTCTTGGTTCAGCGCTTGCGGCCTTCGTGTCCGGGCGGCGTTCTCTGTCTGCCGTGGAACTGCAGGCAAAGATCAAGAAGCTGGTGGTCCCTAAGCCTGCATTTCCAGGCAAGTCCAGCCTGAATGAAATGCACAGTTTAACCCTATTCGTATTTCTCATGTTCACTGTATATTTTCTTCTCACTCACGTTGCGATTACAGCCTCCCTCAGATCAGCTCTTCCCTCCAAGCCATCGGAGGAGCCTTCGGATGACGAGCTGATCAGGGCGGTAGTTGACATGGAGGAGTGTAAGTAAAAACTCAAGTAGCATTCATGCAACATGTTGTTGATAACTGAAAGTTTGACTTCCTTTTTGACCCTTCTCCCTTTATTTTGCTCTATAAATATGCCCGTACTCAGAAGGATATGACCTGGCAGGTCTGTTTGCTTTAATGAAAAACTATCCGCCTGTTGCAAGTCTCAAATCACCAAGCTTCACGCCGACCAATCGCCTGTCAGATCCTCACTAACGAGTGCTTGTAGAGTAAGCTCATCATCCTCTCCCTCGTAAACCTGCGTAACCCCTCCAACCGCTCGCTGCCTGCATCGCTCCCTCAACAAGTCTAATCTGGTGCCGTTGTTTTGTCTCGTCGTCACTTTCTCTCTTTAAACAACCTTCTGTGCTCCACTAGGTTTTAGTTTTCTGTGGCTCAATATTAACGCAACACACATCTAATTCTTTCATGTTAATGAAACATTTGTGTGTCTTTTTTATACCTCTGGGCTGTGGGAAACAGTATTTCAATCTTTCTGTGTGTACAAACATATTTTGAGATTGACATAAAGTTGACTTTGATTTCTCTTTAAGCCTCAGATGTACAGGCCCCTCTCCCGCTCCATCCACCTCCCGCCACCCCCTCCTCCGCACCACAGAAGGGGGCTGGTGTCTCTGCTGTGCTGGGCGAGCCCACGGACGAGGAGCTGCTGGAGGCCACGCAGGAACAGGACCACGCCCTGCGACCTCCAGCAGTAGTCCAGCCTGCACTAGCTCCCTCCTCGCTACCGCAGCCACGGCTTCCCCCGGAGCTGCTCCCGGACAGGAGGAGTTGCCGGGGCCAGCCTTCCTCCCTCCTCTGCCACGTGAGGTAAGACTGTCTGTCAAAGCAAACGCTGCTTATCTGCTGCCCTGGAGCGATGTCCTCAGATATAAGTGCCCTTTACGTTGCTCTGGTTCTCTCTCCAGCTGCTGCCCGTGTCCTGGCGGGCAGCTCTCACTGTGGAGCAGCAGCAGTGGATCGGTCGGGTGCTGTTCACCAGGGACCAGTGGGGGAGGCCGAGCCTCATCCCAGACTTGAATCTGTGGTGGAACCCCCCCCGAATCCCGGCCGATCTACCACCAGCCTCCCGCGTCCCCCGACCCCTTCTTTGCATGTCGGCTGTTTCTCTGGATGCCACACCGGATCTGGCGTCTGCAGCTGACATGCCCCCAGCCTTCATGCACCGGGTCCATGGTGAAGGCTGGGCTGTACAGGACCATCCGGAGGGTCCTGGACATCGACGGCTGGTATCTCATGGCCACCGAGTACCTGGAGTGCCTTCGATGCAAGAAGAAGGTCGGCGGGTGGTCACAGGGCATCATCAGGCAGCTGGCCCCCACCTACAGCCGCCAGTTCCCAGCAGTACTTACGTACAAGTCAGAGGAATTGACAACATACCGTATATATATATATATAAATGTGATGAAGGGAGCTGTATATAATGCTTGTTTTGTGTTTCTGCAGGCTGTCCTGTGACCATAGGGTGGTTACCCAGCTGAAGTCCCGCACTCTGGGCAACAGTGCCACTCAGTTGTGTAACACCCTGCGGGAGCAGCACTCAGACGCCTGGATGCGGAGAGCGATCCAGTACCTCGGCGTGTGCGAGCAGTTCCTGGCCTTGTGCAGCGTGAGGGGGCAGTTTCCACCACCGCCCACAATGCCCACTCTGCCCTCACCCATCTGGCTGCTGACGGTCTACGGCTACGACATAATGACGCGGCTGGATGAGTACAAGGCCAGGATCACGTCCACCTTCGGATCCATCCTGAAGATGGATTCCACCAAGAAGGTCAGTATAGTTTGGCACAATTTCATTTTTTTTCTTACAGCCGCCGTGTGTTTATGCGGTCACCTTTGAAATATCTCTCTCTCTCTGTCCAGGTGACGAAGAAGCTCGCCGGTATCGCTTCCGACACGGCCGCCTGGGTTACCAACGTTGGTAACGAGTACGGGCAGGTCCTCATCAGCGTCCCCACCTGCTCCGAGGGCGCAGAGGGCCTGTCCAGTATGGCGGCCGGACTGATGAGGCGGTACCGACTCGCCGAGGTACCACCCCGCCAGCTGATCTACGTGGATCGGGACTGCTGCAACAGAGACGGCGTGTCAAAGACAGCTGCCTTGTTTCAGGTCTGGCCTGTCAATACTAGTACTGATAATCATAGTAGAATTATAGCAATATTATTTATCTTACACAAAATGACTATTGACCAAAGACACACTAGATGTTGTTCAAGATAATTACAACATCATAAAAACAGAAAAAGAAAAATTGTACTTCAATAATCAGACAGACTTTTGTTTCCTTATCACAGGAGTGGGGACAGCTTGTGGTGAGACTGGACATCTGGCACCTGATGCGACGTTTCGCAGCAGGTGTCACCACAGAGAGCCACGAGCTGTACCCCGCCTTCATGAGGCAGCTGTCTCTGTGCATCTTCGAGGTGGACTCCGGAGATGCCCGCCGTCTCACTGAAGCCAAGCGGTCCCAGCTGGAGGGGAAGCACGGGATGGTCGGCCTGACCGACGCCGAGGTGATCCAGAAGATCACCAGGGAGGAGTGGAGGCTCCACTGCCGTCGTCGGACGCGTGGGGCGGAAGAGACGGCGCTCCTGATCCAGGAGCTCCTCTAAACCTTCGGCGGTACGGCAGGACGCGACAACCTGGACATCCCGTTGCTCGACCCTCTCCGCATCCAGGACATATGGAGTACGCAGAGGCCCCACCTCAGCTGCATCCAGGACCCACCTGGCGTGCAGCTGTACAGGCAGACCGGCAGGCTGACAAAGGGCGGAGTCATCCTGCCGGTGTATCGCTACGCGAGGGGCTCCACGTCTTTGGAGTCCTTCCACCGGTTCATCCCAGGTACAGCTTGTGATAAAGTCTATCATGAATTCACATTTCACGCAAATGTCAATTCATTTCTGATCTGATACCTGCTTCCTCAGGAACGCAGGCGAGTGCCAAGCACTTCCAGGCGTTCCTGGTCCATGGACTGGTGAGGTGGAATGAGGACCGCGCAGCGGCAGCTTCGGGAGAGGTGGAGCCTCTGCACTCCTACAGTGGCCACCTCAAGCACGCCCTTAACCAGAAGAGCCAAAGGGTGCTTGGCCGTCAGCTGGTTAAGGACTTCACCAAGCCTGCCGAGTACACAGGTGAGTGATGTGAAAACCCTATTCACTTTATTCAGACATCATAACTGTGAGGAAAAGGAGCATTTTGCAAATCCTTTGCTTCCTGTCTTTTTTCCGCGTGACAGGGGAGCTCATCGGGGTGGAGTTCCTGTACAGGCAGACAGGCAAAGTGCTTGAGGACGTCAGCTTGGACCCCGACATTCCGGACGAGGCTGTTTCCATCCAGTCGCTGGAGGAGGTGGACGAGGGTATCGAGGAAGACGTGGAGGACCCGACCGTCTTCCAGCCAGATATCCCCTCCACCAGCACAGCAGCCCGGTCGGGTGATCCGGCTGACGCACCCAGGTCTGAGCCATCCGGCCCGGCCGCCCCTCACCAACCTGACCCTCCCGAGGCCCCTGAGGCTCCTGCTCAGCAGTCCTCCTCAGACTCTGAGGTAAGTTCACTAACACACTGCTACTACTGATAATGATAACAATAATAATTATATGTATTCAAGACTCCACAGCAGCACTTCTCTCCTCCTCCCTCCTTCCTTTTCTCCTCAGGAGGAGATGCAGGGTCCTGATGGCCAGCCAGGATACCAGCATGTCCTGAAGCTGGCCAAGGCCCTGCTGGAAGCCAGGAGCCTTCAGGGGCTTTCTGACAAGAGGGTGGACGAACTCATGGCCCTCTGGCAACGCCTGCCCGAGCCGGACAGGCGACGGGTCGTCTACCCTCCCAGACACCGGGAGAGGCAGCTGAAGGGGCGGTTCAAGACAGCGAGGGGGAAGAACACCTCCTGACCTGGGAAGGAGAGTCTCCAACGGTAAGACTCGCTTAAAATATTCCTGTTTTCTGCCCTCACTGTCCTCCCCGTGACTCAGCTGTCTTCTCGGGTTTGTCTTACAGGTTCTCTCGGCGCCAGAAAGAGAGGGGGGTGTCTGTGCTGCTGCAGGGAACTGGCGTCGTCCCTCTAGCAGCTGTGGCTGTCCAGCCTCTCCCGCCAGCGAAAGGGCTGTCCTTTGTACAGGTGGGACAAGGACAGCCCTTCCATTACAACATCCCGGAGGTGCCGGGTCCTTCAGGGGTGGGTCTTTCTGCCTCATCTGGCCACACCCCCCCTCCTCCTCCTCCTCGGACACTGCTCCCGGCTGGCCCTCTCATGGCTGCCGCCCCTCCTCCTCCTCCTCCTCCTCCTCCTCCTCTTCGGACACTGCTCCCGGCTGTCCCTCTCATGGCTGCTGCCCCTCCTCCTCCTCTTCGATTACTGCTCCCGGCTGGCCCTCTCATGGCTGCCCCTGCTGCTCAGCCTCCTCCTCTCCGTGTGCCGAAGACAATGGCCTACAGGAAGAGGAATGCGGCAGAGGCTGATGCTGCAAGGGGTGGGCCGTCGCCCTGGAGCAAAGCCCGTCAGCAGACGGGTCAGTACACCTGCAGCAAGTGTGGCCAGGCCAAGAGGATCGACACTGGCCACACTCGCATTGCAGGTGTGTCTTACTGCGCGGCTGCCGGCGGGAAAACTGTGGAGGAATGGAGGGAGGAGATGAAAAGACTCAAAAGGGACCCAGAGGGGGGGGAATGATGGCTCTTTTTTCTTTAATTGTCTTTTGTCTTTATTTATTTAAATCTATTTTAAAATAAAATTGAACTGAACTTTGTGTGGAAACTTTATTTAGAATTCATTACACAACGTCTGATATTTGACTGCAACACGGGTCAATAAAACACAACATGGTGCATAAGCACAGCAGAGATGATGAGATGATACACACACATATATATATATGTATAATAGGGGTGTAACGGTATCCGTATTCGTCCCGTACCGTCACGGTTCGGACGTCACGGTTCGGCACACGCAGTCACACGACGAATACGCCTTTTTTTTATGAGTGGGAAAAAAGTCTGTCATTCAGGGCAGTATCCACTACACTATATATAATCCAGGGGGCGGTATTGCGCCTAAAAGCTGTTTGCCAGCCGCCCTTAAACAACAAATGAAGAACAAGAAGAAACAACAACAAAACGAACAAAATACAAGAAGAAGAAAAGTTAGTATGGCGATTTCAGATAACACACAGGAGCTAGAACCCACCTGCTTCTTTTAAATCAGCTGTGTGGGAACATTTCGGGTTCCCTGTGGACTACAATAACGATGGAGTGTACGAGTGGTGGATCGGACGAGGACGGTGTGTCGCCGTTGTTCTACAGTGGTGCGGTATGCTAATGGTAACACATGCCAAACATGCTAAATCATATCAGAAGGCATCACCCAGATTTGCCAATCACCGGAGCCCGGCGAAAAGACAGCAGCAGTTCAACAGCTGATCCCCGCTGTTTTTATAAACCAATAGAAATGAAAGCCGTGAGACCAAAATAAATAACGGAAGCTTTTGGCATATGTTTTTCAACGACTTTGCGCTTTTGAAACACTTTCTTATTATTATGATGTCATATTTTCAAGACATTCTTTTTAGCTTTACAGCTTGATGAAACCTTTTTGTTTGACATCAGCCATTATAGATAATATGGCCATCTGAGTGTGTGTGGTACTGTGTATGGTTTGTTTTTAACTGTTTAATACAGTTCATTATTAAAAAAAGAGTTCTTTATTTTTAAACTGAAACTTGCACTACTGTTCAATCATAAATAACAACAAACCTGGAATTATGCATTTGGGACTTTTTTTTGCTTTTTCTTGTTGTACCGAACCGTGACCTCCAAACCGAGGTACGAACCAAACCGTGACTTCTGTGAACCGTTACACCCCTAATGTATATACACTGAACAAAAATATAAACGCAACACTTTTGTTTTTGCTCCCATTTTTCATGAGATGAACTCAAAGATCTGAAACATTTTCTATATACACAAAATAACCATTTCTCTCAAATATTGTTCAAAAATCTGCAAAAATCTGTGATAGTGAGCACTTCTCCTTTGCCGAGATAATCCATCCCACCTCACAGGTGTGGCATATCAAGATGCTGATTAGACAGCATGATTATTGCACAGGTGTGCCTTAGGCTGGCCACAATAAAAGGCCACTCTGAAACGTGCAGTTTTCCTTTATTTGGGGGGTCTGGGGGGGTCCGAAATCCAGTCAGTATCTGGTGTGAGGGGTAGGATTAGGGGTAGGGTTAGGGTTAGGGTAATGTTGTGAATTGAGTGGCCCATGGTGGTGGTGGGGTTATGGTATGGGCAGGCGTATGTTATGGATGACGAACACAGATCACTCAATTCACAACATTACCCTAACCCTACCCCTAACCCTAATCCTAACCCTAACCCTAATCCTAACCCTAATCCTACCCCTCACACCAGATACTGACTGGATTTCGGACCCCCCCAGACCCCCCCAAATAAAGGAAAACTGCACGTTTCAGAGTGGCCTTTTATTGTGGCCAGCCTAAGGCACACCTGTGCAATAATCATGCTGTCTAATCAGCATCTTGATATGCCACACCTGTGAGGTGGGATGGATTATCTCGGCAAAGGAGAAGTGCTCACTATCACAGATTTTTTCAGATTTGTGAACAATATTTGAGAGAAATGGTTATTTTGTGTATATAGAAAATGTTTTAGATCTTTGAGTTCATCTCATGAAAAATGGGAGCAAAAACAAAAGTGTTGCGTTTATATTTTTGTTCAGTGTATATATGTATGTGTATCATCTCATCATCTCCTATATGTATATATATATGTATGTATGTAGTATATATATATATGTTGCCACTCAATTATGATGCATGTTATATTTGATATATATATCAAATATAACATGCATCATAATACAGCTCTGTAGAACAAACCTTTCTTTAATCAGATCAGTTTTATTTATTCAGATGTTATCTCACTGCACTTTACAGATACTCTTTGTAGTTTATCATCATCATTGACCAAAACCCCCTGTCTGAGAGGGGAGCTCTTCCTCATCTCTGCCACAGCTGGGGATCGAACGGCCGACCTTCTGCTCCGCGGAGCAGGGCCCACTTTCCTCTCCTTGCCCCCCTCCTTTCACAGAGAAGAATGGGCAGTATCCTCCACCGGGTGGATTCAATCGTTCGCCAATGGGAGGCGGATAAAGGTCCAAATCAGAGAATCAAACTTTTGGCGTCCAATCAGTGAGGCGGATTTCTTTCCAAATTCTCTCCTCCGTCCGCCATTGTTTCGACCTGGCATTCTACTGAGTGACTTCAATCAAGCGACACTGTGAGTAAAATGTGCATTAATTATTAGCAAATACACGTGTAAACACTGTTACAAAGACACTTCTATGTCCGACATTAGTCATACTGAGTTAGCCGTGGTGTTTGTACGGTATCCATACTTTGTGAACCGCTGATGAACTGCTGTGTGTGTTTACCTTTAGCTAGCGGGACGCTACGGAGCCCAGCTATCCGCCCTCTGAAGCTTTTAGAGCCGACAGGGGGAGGACAATGTCCCGCTAACGCTGTGTGTGTGTGTTTCACATTAGCGGGACGCTACGGAGTTCCGGTATCCGCCCTCTGAAGCTTTTAGGGCCGACAGGGGGAGGAGAATACAACGCTGTGTGTATTTATCGCTAAGCTAACGGCTAAGCTAGCTGGACGCTACGTTTCAGGTATCCGTCCTCTGAGGCATTTATTGCGGACAGGTTGAGGAGGATGTCCCGCTCCTGTGTGTGTGTAACGGAGCTCAGATGAGAGGGCTCTGATTACAGTTTTAATCCTCCGTCAAACTGCATGTTTTCTGCTATATTTGATGAGAGATAAAATGATTTTCTGCCACAGGAGTTTGACAGAGAATAACTGAAAAAGTACACAGTAAAATAACCCATGGCCACTGTCGATGCAAGAAGAAGGTCGGCCGGTGGTCACAGGGGCATCATCAGGCAGCTGGCCCCCACCTACAGCTGCCAGTTCCCAGCTGTACTTATGTACAAGTGAGAGGAATTGACAACATACCGTATATATGAATGAATGTGATGAGGGAGCTGAATATAATGCTTGTTGTGTGTTTCTGCAGGCTGTCCTGTGACGGGAGCAGCACTCAGAGCCTGGATGGAGAGCGATCTAGTACCTCGGTGTGTGCGAGCAGTTCCTGGCCTTGTGCAGCGTGATGATGGGGCAGATTCGGTGTCAAAATTTCATTTTTTTTCTTACAGCCGCCGTGTGTTTATGCACTCACATTTTCAATCTCTCTCTCTCTCTCTCCAGCCGTCAGCTGGTTAAGGTCCTCATCAGCGTCCTCACCTTCTCAGAGGGCCTGTCCAGTATGGCGGCCGGACTGATGAGGCAGTACCGACTCGCCGAGGTACCACCCCCCAGCTGATCTACATGGATCGGGACTGCTGCAACAGAGACGGCGTGTCAAAGACAGCTGCCTTGTTTCAGGTCTGGCCTGTCAATACTAGTACTGATAATCATAGTAGAATTATAGCAATATTATTTATCTTACACAAAATGACTATTGACCAAAGACACACTAGGTGATAATTACAACATCATATAAACAGTATTTGAGAAAAATTGTACTCCAATAATCAGACAGACTTTTGTTTCCTTATCACAGGAGTGGGTGGACCCCGGAGATGCCCGCCGTCTCATTGAAGCCAAGCGGTCCCAGTCGTTCCTTCGCGGTCCAAGACAGCGAAGGGGATGAACACCTTCTGTCCTGGGAAGGAGAGTCTCCAACGGTAAGACTCGCTTCAAATATTCCTGTTTCCTGTACCAAATATTTGCTGCGCATTAACCCTCACTGTCCTCTCCGTGACTCAGCTATCTTCTCGGGTTTGTCTTACAGGTTCTCTCGGCGCCAGAAAGAGAGGGGGGTGTCTGTGCTGCTGCAGGGAACTGGCGTCGTCCCTGCAGTAGCTGTGGCTGTCCAGCCTCTCCCGCCAGCGAAAGGGCTGTCCTTTGTACAGGTGGGACAAGGACAGCCCTTCCATTACAACATCCCGGAGGTGCCGGGACCTTCAGGGGGGGGTCTGCCTGCCTCATCTGGCCACACCCCCCCTCCCCCTCCTCCTCCTCCTCTTCGGACACTGCTCCCGGCTGTCCCTCTCATGGCTGCTGCTGCTGCTCCTCCTCCTCCTCCTCCTCCTCCTCCTCCTCCTCCTCCTCCCTCCTCCTCCTCCTCCTCCTCCTCCTCCTCCTCCTCCTCCTCCTCCTCCTCCTCCTCCTCCTCCTCCTCCTCCTCCTCTTCGATTACTGCTCCCGGCTGGCCCTCTCATGGCTGCCCCTGCTGCTCAGCCTCCTCCTCTCCGTGTGCCGAAGACAACGGCCTACAGGAAGAGGAATGCGGCGGAGGCTGATGCTGCAAGGGGTGGGCCGTCGCCCTGGAGCAAAGCCCGTCAGCAGACGGGTCAGTACACCTGCAGCAAGTGTGGCCAGGCCAAGAGGATCGACACTGGCCACACTCGCATTGCAGGTGTGTCTTACTGCGCGGCTGCCGGCGGGAAAACTGTGGAGGAATGGAGGGAGGAGATGAAAAGACTCAAAAGGGACCCAGAGGGGGGGGAATGATGGCTCTTTTTTCTTTAATTGTCTTTTGTCTTTATTTATTTAAATCTATTTTAAAATAAAACTGAACTGAACTTTGTGTGGAAACTTTATTTAGAATTCATTACACAACCTCTGATATTTGACTGCAACACGGGTCAATAAAACACAACATGGTGCATAAATAAGCACAGTAGAGATGATGAGATGACACACACACATGTATGTGTGTATCATCTCATCATCTCCTCTATATATATATATATATATATAGATATGTTGCCACTCAATTATGATGCATGTTATATTTGATATATATATCAAATATAACATGCATCATAATACAGCTCTGTAGAACAAACCTTTCTTTAATCAGATCAGTTTTATTTATTCAGATGTTATCTCACAGCACTTTACAGATACTCTTTGTAGTTTATCATCATCATTGACCAAAACCCCCTGTTTTAGAGTCATCAGTGTCAGGCAGTGCTGGCTGAGAGGGGAGCTCTTCCTCATCTCTGCCACAGCTAGGGATCGAACGGCCGACCTTCTGCTCCGCGGAGCAGGGCCCACTTTCCTCTCCTTGCCCCCCTCCTTTCACAGAGAAGAATGGGCAGTATCCTCTGAGGCGGCGAGGATAATCGGGCCTGCTCAGTCTCACTTAGTCTCACTTAGAGTCCCGCCCCTCACGTTCATTTCTATGGCATTCTCGTTTACATCTTCTGTCCACCCATTGGTCGTCTCACTTAGTTCTAGTACTCTGATTGGATGACGTCTCATTCAGCGGGGATTGTCTTCACTGTAAATGAACAGCCATCAAAACTGACCGGCTTTTGAAAAGGTAACATAAACTCTGCTATTACTCTTATCAAGACAGTCCGTTATAATGTAGTATAACAGATGAATGCCAATGTGTTGTCTTGTAACGTTCGCGCATATTAGCATTGGTAACAAGTTGCCGCTAAGCCAGAAACACACCGGAGCTTTCCGGCCGTTTAAATCCGTAAATACTTGTCATTTAATGCTTATTACTATGCGCTAACGTTTACGAAGTTAACATGTATATGCACCATTCGTGATTAAAAGCTGCCGCTCCGCCATTTACAGTGTTAACAGTAGAACTACGGCAACAACATGCATTTCTCCTGCACTTTGCTAGGTGCAAAACACGTTATGCTTTTTTACTTTGCACTAACGTAAATGTTCATGAAGTTAATGCTCACAGATGTGGACGGAGGGTTAACGGTCATAGACACTTGGCTATTTAATGAAGTACTGTAATAACTTGAAATGTAATTCGTATTTACTATGCGGTAGTGTACTAAAGTCAACATGTATATTAAGGCTACCATGGTTCTGCAATAAGTATCATTCATTTAACGTCAGAGCTCTGAGGTTAATGTTGAGCTGATGGAAAAGTGTTGGCATTATCTTTCAAATCAGAACCAGCTCCCGCTCCGCTGTGTGTTTCCCTGGATGCTGCACAGCGGAGCGGGACACCCTCCTCACCCTGTCAGCCCTAAATGCATCAGAGGGCGGGGGACCCCTGAGCTCCGTAACGTCCCGCTAAATAGCACTTTAGACCCTGTGCAGCATCCAGATTTCTAAACCTCTCAGGTCTGTATTCACTGTGATCAGATGCTGCTCTGTTTACATGCAGATGACTCCTGTTGGATGAAGTCCTGCTAATAACAGAAATGTGAGATGCAAACAGAAGAAGTCATGAAGGCACAGAGCTCAGAGGAGGTGTCTCTCCTCCACCAGTTCAAAGCATAACCCACTACTCGAAGTGAAACTAGTGAACTAAATGTTGAAGTGTTATAATGAAAGGCAGAGGAGTGAAGAGGAGCAGAGTGCAGAGGAGTGAAGAGCAGGCTCTGCAGCCGCAGTACCACTGGGGGCCATGGGGGCGCTGTTTCACCCAAAATCATCCCAAATCATATCAAATCTTTAAAAAATCATATTAAATCACAGAAAAGAGCTACGGGAAGGAAACAATAAGGAACGCTTCACGAATTTGCGTGTCATCCTTGCGCAGGGGCCATGCTAATCTTCTCTGTATCGTTCCAATTTTAGTATATGTGCTACCGAAGTAACACAATATAACTAAGAATCTGGGGAGTATATATACCTCTCTGACCTGGGAGCAGCCTCTGCTCTGGTGCCAGGACATGTAGAGGCTCAAGAGGAGGAAAACCCTGCTTTCAAAGGCTCTATATGTGCAGAATTACATGTGTTAATGTGTGATTGTGACCCCTCAGGAACTCAAGTGACCCCCTAGGACTTAAAGTGACCCCCCAGGACCGGCAGACCCACTTCAGGTTCTGATGAGGAACCGCTAGGGCATGTGGGTAAAGCATGCAAAGAGCCGAGCCGATACGTCACACGGGCCAGGATTGGTCGACTGGAGACGAGAGGACAAAAGATCTGGCCGCTCCTCCCCCTCTGGCATTCCTCCCAGACGCCCTTTGACCCCCCCTCAGGACCCAGAGAGGGAGAGGGAAGAGGGGGAGACAAAGAGAGGGACACCGGGTAGGGGGGGGGGAAACCCAACTCCAAAAACCCTCCCCCTACCACGTCATACGCCTTTGTGTGTTTGCGTAAAGGTTTCCCTTCCCTTTGTGACTCGAAGTGCCGCTCTGCACCAAATACTGGGGACAGGAAGTTATAATAACCCTCCCCGACTAAAAGCTGTACTAATGGACCATGTGCAACACTGTCTGTCCAGGAACCGCAGATTTCAAGAGGTTTACTGAAAAGGAAACGCCTCTAAATACAGTTCCTGTTTCTTCCGGAGAGGAGGGGGCTTTGTTTGTCCCTCAGCGGAAAGAAGGAGCTTCATTCAGCTGAGAGACTGCAGGCGGAGGTCATGGAGGAGGAGGGTCAGGTCAGGCACACTTGCTGCACTCGTCTTCTGGTCCTCATCAGATCCTCAGAGTCTCAGCTCCAGGAGAGACAGTGCAGTCAGACAGACGCTGTGAGAAGGAATCAGCCTGCAGACAGAAGAGGAAACGACACATGCTGCAGGACAGGCTTTACAAGACAAAGAAAATACCTCATCGTTTACTTTCCACGTGCAAAAGGGAGTAGTGGGGATGTTTTAAGAAAGCGACATTTGTCTTTGAAATAATTTGTCAATTCTAATCTCTGTTTTGTTGTTTTGAAATTGGAGGCTGAATGTTATCTATCACACGCTGAGACTGTTCTGCTCGTTATAAGTGAACCAACACTGGGAAGCATCCCAACATGCGTTTGAACTACAACGCAGTGCACGGCCTCAAAAGTTAACTTATAAGTTAGCAAAATCAATCAAAAGTAAGTCAATTATTCTTGATAGTTGAATATACTTTAAGAAACAAACCGCCTTCATCTCAGCTCTCCAGAGGCTTTACTTTATTTAGTGTGTTCAGCTCATTCCTTCAAACAGAAGCCTCAGATTATAATAAGGGGAAATGTTCAGGGAACATTTCCCCTTATTATGCAGATAAGTTATTGGGCTTTTTTTTAATAAAATAAGATTTGTTAGAACATGTTTTAATTGACTGAATTTATTTGAAAAGTGGTCTTATCAACACGTGAATACTACTGTGTAATATCTGTTTACATTTATATCTAAGAAGTACAATATAAGACAAGCACAGGTTTCATGTCACTATCACTGATTATACTTTTAGAATCTGCTCCCCTCTGATTTAGATATACGGATGTATTTCGTTTCTATTGTAAATACATGCTGCTAATAATCATGTGTATTATATTTGTATCTTTTCAAACATTTCTAACTCGTACTTGCTGAAATAAAGTCTCAACACAAGCAGAGCAGTGCCGTTCCACAGTCTGACCAGCAGGTGGCAGGCTGTGCCCACGAGAGGGAATAATGGAAAACACCGTAGAAACACTTTAGAAACGTCACAAGTCAGTAATACTTTATATCGATATGCATTATTGTAAAGTTGATCAGTAATAAAACGTGCAGCTAAAGCCGAATTCAATTAAAATATGTCACATTGAAATGTGTTTTATTTTTCTGTTAAGTGTTCTTAACTCCGCGCGAATTGGGATTGTGTGTGTCAAGATCTGAGTACTTCTACTTTTACTCAAGTACAAGACCTGAGTACTTCTACTTTTACTCAAGTACAAGACCTGAGTACTTCTACTTTTACTCCAGTACAAGACCTGAGTACTTCTACTTTTACTCCAGTACAATATCTGAGTACTTCTACTTTTACTCCAGTACAAGACCTGAGTACTTCTACTTTTACTCCAGTACAAGACCTGAGTACTTCTACTTTTACTCCAGTACAATATCTGAGTACTCTACTCCAGTACAAGACCTGAGTACTTCTACTTGTACACAAGTACAAGATCTGAGTACTTCTACTTTTACTCAAGTAGCCTACAAGACCTGAGTACTTCTAGTTTTACTCGAGTACAAGACCTGAGTACTTCTCCTATATGAGAACACTTCATCAGGTCCTGTTCA